CCGAGTTCAGACATAGATCGTAGAATTTATCGCCTTGCCGTTCTCGTCCTTAAAAAAACTTAAAATTTGGTCATTTCACGTCGTAGTTGTGCAGAGATGGCAAAGAATTGTACAAAAAAGCGTGGCAAGGATGTGTCGAATACTTTGTTATTGTAACTATCTTTTAATATTCTTTTCTCAAAATAACGAGCTTCTTATCGCTGAAAACGCTTCGTTGCTGAGCAACTTGTTTACTTCAATTTATTCGAAAAAGCACCTAAATAAAATAGCACTTTATGCCAAAAATGTTAGGTATGGAGCAAACGCGCCGAGGAAGAAATTTAAATATCCACCCTGATGTAAACGTTAAAAAAATAATAAGATTAAAAGTGCTTATTCAATCGAAAAGTATCGAATGTTTCTTTTTACAACGTTTGTATTTCGTACAATGTGAATTGTTTGTTCCTCCCGGCTTTTCCTCTTCTTATTAATTATTATTAAAACCATATACATCGTCGTAAAAATATTTCCATCATTTTTACGCTCTATTTTGGCCTGTCACTGGAGACCTGCCGTGTGGTTCTTTTTATCTTTTTTAAGTTCTCGTGGACATTTTCACTTTGCGGATCCAGCTTCAGAGCCTTTCTGTAGTATACACCGGCTTGCTCGTGTTTCCCCCATCTGTGATATAACACTCCTGTCAAGTAAACAAAAACGATAGCGTTATATCTTGGGATTAATTTGAGACTGCGTTTAGGCACAGATACAAGTTACTTAAAAGCAACAATGGATAATCCGAACGGTACAACTAGCTTTTTCATTACTATTAGTTATTACTGTAAACTACTTGAAAAGCATAATAAACTTTGTCCAGTAAAGACAGGGACCGCGCAGAGGGAGGGGCTGGGGGGGCTTTAGCCCCCCCACTTTTTTGCAAGAATAAAAATAAATTAAACAAAAAATAATTTAACAAAAGTAACGGAGTGAAAAATAGCAAAAAATCGTTAATTCGAAAGTGACCACAGTTACTGGCAAAGACAAACGCGCAGATAAATAGACAGAATGAAGCATAAGTCGTTACAATTGTAAAATATTTTTTCGATTCTAACCTAGCAGAGGTAAACGTCTTTTAAATGGCCTCTTTTTCCTGGAAAAACTGTACAACGATGATGTTAATATTTCAGTGTTAACCGCCCAGATGGAAATTTTGCAAGTGCTGCTGAAGGATGGTGATTATTTTTGTTTTGACGACATCATAGTAAAAATTAACGAGCTGCCCAACCCAGAACGGGAAATGATAAAAGAAGTTATCACGTTATGTAAGCTGATTGTCGTAAATCCAGCAACCAGTGCAGCCGGTGAAAGATCCTTTTCGACTACCCGGAGGCTAAAAACATGGCTCCGTTCAAGAATGAACCAGGAACGATTTAGTAACCTGACAGTTTTAAACATACACAAAGAAAGAACGGACAGGTTTTCCACCATTGACATAGCAAACGAATTTACCGACCGCAACACAAACAGAAAGCGTAATTTTGGCACTTTTCGAGTAAATGATGTACAGTAACTTTAATATCATTAACTAAACTATTTTTAGTTACCGTTTTGTTTCGCCGTGTAAATATTTTGAGTGAATAATTAAACAATTATGGAACTCGGCTTTCGTATGATATGAAGATATACAGATCTCGGAGGGTGTTATCCACCGGGCTCAAGCCTTCGGCTTTGGCGGATAACCCCCTCGATCTGCATAACTCTTCATATCATACTCAGCCTCGTGCAATAATTGCTCAGTAATTATACAGCCTTGAGTTCAAGGCAGCTCAAGCAAAATCGTTGGATTTTTGGCTTATTTATAGTAATTAAAGGTTGATATCAGTAGTATAACATAACAATCTATGATATTTCAATTTAGTGATGGTGAATTTTCAGACCCGATAGCAACATCACTAAAGATGTGGAAAAAAATCAATAGTTTTATCGTTATTCGCATTTTCCGTCACTTTAGAGAAATTGAATAGAAATCCACAAGCATGCCCCCCCCGCCCCCCCCCCCCCAAATTTTTCCTTCACGCATTCTTCTTTAGCCCCCCCACTCGAAAACTTGCTGCGCGGTCCCTGAAAGAACATGCTCAGAAGCGTTTGCTTCAATGGTTACACTTTATAATCGACGTTAAGCTGCGATCAGGCCTTCTTTTTTTCGGGGAAGCACAAAATTCGGCGGACAGGTAAAAGTAAAAAAAAGAAGGACCGCCTTATGCCAGGTTAAATCGACCTATACATAGAGGATATTAGACGGTGGCGCGAAGATATGATTTTCATTTTCGAGTGGCAAAACGATATTTTATGAACGAGCGAGAAAGCGCGCGGAGGACGATTTCCCGCCAATTTTCCTCTCCCATTATACCCGTGTCCTGTTTATTTTATTCCTGAAATACCAGTGGAAGCCTCTACGGGGAACAAAGAACCTGACCTAAAATCCCCTTCACCGGCGTCTTTGTCTGATCGTAGTGTAATTCTGTAACGAATCACGTACCACAAACTCATCTTTCTGTCCGAGCATGTTAGCAAGGTTGAAATGAACTGACGGCTCCTTGGGAATGTGGCTTTTAGCCTCCCTGATCACTGTTATTGCCGCATCTCTGTTACCTAGAAAGGGAAACCTGCCAGGAGTTACCTTAAAATAAACTCGTCTGTCAAGAGACGTCACTTCGCACAATATTTCTTTTAGCTAGTGAGCTACCTAGCTGTTAGCGACCAACTAAAACGCCAGGATTGTGTGGTTGTCTAAGTGAGGTGGAGGCTTGCGAGAGGTTTGTTGCTGGGGATCCGCCAGAAAAGAGACTGACTCATTTGAAGATCTAAGTAGGGGTAGGAGGAGAGTAATTAACTGAAAATACCCTACTATGCAAAAAAAAGTTTTTCAAGACTGTAGTTTAACCCTTGCAAGTGTTCCTACGCCTTACAATAATTTCACTGTTTTCTTTAAGGGTTAAGAGGGTAATTAATCAGGGGTACCCAACGTCAATTTTCGGAAAATATCTGTTCGGAAGACGATTTGAGATCTAGAATTTTCGGAATATTTTTTGTAAAATTTCTTGCTTTCCTGCCTCTCCTAGGATTTTCGAACATCTCAAAAATGGTATAATTGCCCATTTTTAACGGATTTTTTCCCTAAAAAGGTCGCCTAGAATTTTCGGGAGCCTTTTTTCTACCTGAAATTTTCGAAAAGGTAAGTTTTGATTCCTATAATTTTCAGATCACTAGACTTTCAGCTAACAAGTGCGAACAGATGGAAAATTTTGAGGGGATAAGAATATGCCTATATCTACTGTTTAAATACTAAAATACGTTCAACAATGCTATGTTAAAGTGGTTTTGAACTATATTCTCGTTGGGTGCCCCTAATTAATGGGTCCAAAATTTACGTCAGTTGCTCGGAGTAGTCATCATCTGAATAAAAAAAACCTGAGGCCGACGTTGCACTCATTTTATTCCCCCTCCACTACGTTTAGTTTTACGGGTATTTCAGTTCCTACACAGAGAGGACAGAAGTCAAACAAGGATCGGAAGTCATAAATGGGAATCGAACTCAGAACCTTTAGCATAGAAGGCCTGGTACTAACCAACATGAACTAACCTGAATCCTTGCTCCTGCGCTCGGAAAACGTTTGCTTGAGTTCTTTTTCACTTTCCTAAAAAAGTGAGTTCTTTTCTCCCTTCCCTTATACAAATCAAAAAAAATTTTCCATGAACGGCACTCAAGTGAAACCAGGATCAGCAAGCGAATGATTTCACTGCCAATTTTTGAACATTTTCGCGTCATTTCTATGATGGATAAGAGTATGGACCATGGAAATTTATTGTCGATTTGTCTTGTACAATAACATTAAGAGTCTTTGACGTCCACTCGTTAAATAATTTTCCACAAACTGCGCGCAAGAGACAGAGAAACACAAATTGCGCCACCGTCACGTAATTTCCATCACGTCGGACCATTGGAAAAGTTATTAGGGAGCTTTATCATCGACGACAGCAACTGCAGCGAAAACGTCAGTTTTAAAATGAATTCCCGTTTTCTCAATCTTTGTCGCGTTTATTCCAATTTGCTGAAAATGGTAAGTGTAGGCGAATTTCCCTGGAGTTGATTTCTTGAGGACCGCACTCAAGTTTAGAGAGAGAAAAAGAGATTCGTCGTCGCTTGTTTACGTCCTCCATAAAACTTGCAATTAGGCATTTTCACGTCGCAGTCGTGCAAGGACGGTAAAGAAATGTACAAAAAGCGCGATGCACGTGCAAAGTTGTTGTTTTGCGTTATAAACCGATTGCTTTTTTGACGTCCTCTTTGCCGTCGCCGTCGTCGTTGCTAAAGCTCCCTATTGGCGGGGGGGGGGGGGGGGGGGGGGG